ATAATTTAATCATGATTTATATTATATATTATATATTTATTTATTTATTATTTTGTTAATTTTATTTTTTGAAAAATTGATTCCTACACACATGAGAATGAGAAAATATTTCATTTACTATGGAATGACTAATCCCATGGAGATGAGTTTTGTCATTCCCATTTGAATTGTCATTCTTTCCCAAAAAATATACCAATCATGAGAATAGGAATGAGGAAGGGAATGCTCATTTCATTCTCATGTCATTTCTTCATACCAATCATGCCATTATGATAATAAAGTAGCTATAATAGACATAATAATCATGGTTAATCATCAATTAGTCGGTCTACGAAATTAAAAAATGTCATATTCATATATAGATAATAATTAGACTGTTTTTATTCTTCATCAAACGAATTTTGGCAATATTAGTTAAGTCAAATTTTTGAAAAGGACACATGGGTTGACTATTATTGCAGCTCAACATTTTTTGTTGCTGTTCTTTGCAAATTTTTGTTTTTTATTTTTTTTATTTTTTTTATTTTTATTTTTTAATTGAACCTACACAGATCTGACACTTCCTTTTCTCACTTCCAGATGAAAAAAATTTAGTTAGATAAAGATATAAAAGAAAAAAATAAAAGGTAATTCTAATATAAAAGTAATATTCTATTACATGTTGAGCTCGTGTAATTTACTAATTTTAACTACATATACTCATCGTGTAACATAATTGTGAAAAAAAGAATACGAGTTCTTGGTTGGTCTATTTCAAATATACTTTTAATATTATAATGAGTGATTTATTTGATCTAATTAATCTATTTTATGTTTCGTGCGAAGTGTGCGAATATTATTGTATAATTATATAAATTATGCTACTTTGTCAAAATTGAGTTGATGAAATTTTGATAAATATCACTGTTTCTATNTGAATTAGATCTCAATAGATAGTAATAGTATCTGTGTTATTTTAATATCTAAGTGTTTATCGTTACATACTTACATGTATAATTTAATAATTAAAAAAAGTTTGACTTTAACTTCAATAGTACCACCAGTTAATACTAGTAATTAATTTTGAAACAGTCTGTCTCATGTTTCTAGTTGACTACAATTATGAATAGATCTAATCCTCTTAACACATCAACAGAAACAAACTATTCCTAGAATTCGAAAATAATAATAATCTAGGAAAAAAAATGTGACTTGGACCTTCAGTAAAAATCCCTTATTTTTTCTATATTTAGAGCACATCATTAGTAGATTTCCTCGTTAGTTCAAAGGGCCTAGTAAATAGTAAACTCCCTCTCTTCTCCCAAAAATTAAAAAAAAAAAAATTAATTTGAATTTGTAAAAAGATTTCATATTTTCACTATGTGGTTGGTGAGTACCTTTAAATGTGTTTACAATGATAGTTAAATATTTTCACTTACGAAACATAGGGTCAAAGAAAGGACTAATTTGAATTTGTAGAAAGATTTCATATTTATCATTATCAATGTAGCAATCACAATGATACTTAAATATTTTCACTGACCAACATATTACGAAATATAGGGTCAAAGAAATGACTAATAAGAATTTGTAAAAAGATTTCATATTTATCATTATCAATGTAGCAATCGACTTCATACTTATCATTATTAAAGAAGGTAGTTGACCACTTGGGGTGACTTCCAAAATTTGGTGAACTCAAATTGACATTAATCACCAATATTCAGGGTGATTGGATATGAATTCAACTAGTTAAAAATTATATTTTTTTTAATTATAGTTAAGTTTAAAAAAGTAATATGGTTAATTGTTAGTTGATATATTAAAATAATATTTAAATTAAAATAATTAAAATTAATTTGATGTAAAAGTAGGAGAAAATGATTAGAACTGATGGTTAGTTAAAATTATGTGAGTGAGTGAATAATGAATTAAAGTTGATGTAATGTGTAATAATAATTGGTTGATTTAATTATATTTATAATATTGGAGATAGTGGAGTTGAGTTAAAGTTGAGTTAAATTTGAATTTTGAGTGAGATATTTATTGTACAAATTATATACAATCACACCCTTAGCAATCAAACAGCACTTATCTTTTAAAAAATAAAAATCTATTTCTATACGAATTAATAAATTCATCAACTGTATGGCATGTTTAAAAAAAAAATAAAATTAAACTTAACTATAAGACTTATTCAACAAAAAGAAAAACAAAAAATCATAAGACTTGGAACCGAGTCAAATTTTGCATACTCCACAAAGGGTCTAACAAAAGGCATCTTTATGCCTGACCCCTCAAACGGAAACTTGGTGGGCTCCTATAAAATCCACCAAACCTTCTAAAAATTCCTTTTTTTTATTCTGTTCAGCTTCAAGACTCTTCATTTTTGTGCTTGTTGTGAACTTGTGATAAAGATCCATCTTTCATGTTCCTTTTGCTCACCTTTTTGTCAAAAACATCGTATTTTAGAAAGAAAAAGAGAGAGGTCCTTGTACAGTTGTCGGCTGGGACACAAATTGAACAAGAGAAAAAAGCAATAAAATTCAGTGTTTATTTTTTTTTCCTTACATCAGATCTGAGGCTGTTGATGAAATTTGACTAGTTTCGTCTAAGTTCAGTTATATTCTTTGTGGTTCCTTAGAAAAAGAAAAAGGAATTTTGAAGATTGTATATTTTGAGGCTGTGAGCTGATTTCTTGAAATTTTATTACATGTGTTCTGGCTTCTGAGGTTTATTTTCGGAGGCTTTTTTGTTTTTTTTTTCCTTTCCTGAAGTTTCCTTTTTTCGTAAGAGAATGGGGAGTTGCTTGAGCAACCAGATAAAGGCTGAGAGCTCTTCTCAAACAGGTACATCTGCATTCTGATATGTTTTACTTCTTCACTTATCTTTATTTTCATAATAGAGAAAATGCTTTGTTATTGCCATTTTGTTGTGGGCTGAAAGTTTAAGTTAAGCATTTGAATTTCTTTCATTTATTTGCACTGAGGATGTTTGACTTGCTTGCGCTTTGTGAATAAGCAACCATTATTTGATTTATGTATTATAAATTAGAATACCTCACAGCTCGATGAAGAATGTATATACCTCCCAAAAGTCCACCCAATAAAATTTGCCCGTACCATTATCAGTTCAAAAAAAAAAATCTAATCTTGTTGTATTTGTTCTGGCTGTGGGCTAATCAAAATTCAAAAGAAAGATTGAAGTTGGAGCTCAACTTCTGATATTTGTGAATAGAAAACCAAAACACACCTAGATTCAAGACTTTCCAAAAAACTTTTTATAGTCTTCAATTCTAAATTTCTAACTATACATCTAAAAATGTAATTTTTAGGCATGGGTTCATCTAAAATGGTGACGGATTTAAGTAACTCGAGCCTTAAGACATCCGTGCCCCCGACTCCCAGAACAGAAGACGAGATTTTGCAGTCTCCCAACCTTAAAAGCTTCACCTTGAGCGATCTTAAATCAGCCACCAAAAATTTCCGCTCAGACAGCGTCTTAGGAGAGGGAGGTTTCGGCTCGGTTTACAAAGGTTGGTTGGACGAAAATACCCTTGCGGCTTCGCGGCCTGGTTTGAGTATGGTCGTGGCTATTAAAAGACTAAACCAGGATGGGTGGCAAGGGCACAAAGAATGGCTGGTACGGAAAGAAAAAAAAAAAAANTTTTTATTTAAGTCGATAAAATTTTATTGGGTGGTCATTTTCATTTAGTGATGGTTTAATGTATAAGTTGTACTTTTCTATTTACTCTTTGATAGGCTGAGATCAACTATCTTGGGCAAATTCGTCACCCGAATCTTGTGAAGTTAATCGGTTACTGTTTGGAGGATGAACACAGGCTTTTGGTGTACGAGTTCATGCCCAAGGGTAGCTTGGATAATCATCTATTCAGGAGTAAGTTCTTGTTAGTTTGTCCTTTATAGGAAAAGCCTTAGACTATGTTTGGTAAACCTAGCTCATAAGCTAGCTTTAAGTGAATTTCGAGCTTATAGCTGATAACTTATGATTTATTACTGAAAAAAAGCTAGCTTATATGAGAAGTGTCTTGTAAAATTAGCTAAATAAAAATTTCAAAATGGGCTTATTTGAAAAGCTACTCAAGGAAGTTTATGAGATAAGCTCGATCTTTTTCAAAATAGTTCGTCCTACCAAACCAAAATTATTTGTATACAGGAAGCTTGTAAGCTAATCAAATAAGCTATAAACAAGCTTATATGCTGACCAAACACAACCTTCAACGAAGTGTGTCAGCAGACACTAGAAAAAGAGTCATTTTTTTCTTCTAGTGTGGATTTTGTATGTAGATAAGAATTTTTCGACCAACTTGAAAATGTAACAATGAAGTTGATGTTAAATTAGGAGGATCATACTTTCAGCCACTCCCATGGAGCTTGAGAATGAAGATTGCTCTTGATGCTGCAAGAGGGCTCGCTTTTCTCCATAGTGATGAAATAAAAGTGATATACCGGGACTTCAAGACTGCTAATATCCTACTTGATTCGGTTCGTAATTTTCTCCGTTTGTTTACTAGAGTTTGTCATTAGAATTTGCCGTTTCGTATGAAATTTTTGTGTCGAACTTTTTTTTTTTTTTCGGAGACTTTATGTTGGTTTTGAGTTAGTTAGTTATGCTGACTGCTTTTTATGCTTGATTTTACTCACAGCACTACAGTGCGAAACTTTCTGATTTCGGGCTCGCCAGGGATGGGCCCGCTGATGATAAAAGTCACGTCTCGACTCGAGTTATGNAAGTGCCAAGGCCTGTAAACGAGCCGAGACGAGCTCGAGCTTGTTAAATAAACGAGCCAAAAATCAAGCTCGAGCTTGGCTCGTGTATCACTATTAACAAGCCGAACTATAGAAAATTATATAAAAAATCTCTTTTCGATTCTTATCGAGCCAAGCCGAGCTGGACTCATTAACCAAACGAGCTTTAAATGAGCTTGAGCTGAACTCGAGACTTAACGAGCCAGACTCATTGAATTTAACAACACTTAGCGCCACTTGAAAAGACTTAAAAAGTAAAAACACAATTTTTGCTTTCCTTGGGAATTTTCTAAAATTTATTTTTCAGCTCACTTTGAGAATCTCCATCCTTATTAACCAAGTTTTTTCTTTCCTTTTTATTTTTCTTTTTTAACTTTTCTTGGTTATATGTATGAATTTTGTTAGGTCACTTAACCGCAAAAAGTGACGTGTACAGCTTCGGAGTAGTCCTTCTAGAAATCTTGACCGGTAAAAAGGCCATCGACAAAACCCGGCCCACTGGCGAACAAAATCTTGTCGACTGGGCCAAACCTTACCTAACCAACAAACGGAGGATTATCCGGGTCATGGATACCAGGCTTGAGGGCCAATATTCATTGGGCCGGGCTGTGAAGGCTGTGGGCCTTGCTCTCCAGTGCCTGTCCACGGATGCCCGGTTGAGGCCCGTTATGGATGAGGTCGTAAAAGCCTTGGAGGAGCTTCAAGATTCGAAAAACGAGAAAAAGGAAAAACGGATAAATCGACATAATCATAACCAGTCGAAGGAAGCACGTAAAAACAAGGCTTATTATCCTAGGCCTTCGGCTATCGTTCTTTAGTTGCAAGAAAAAAAAATAAAAAAATAATAAAAATAAAAATAAAAAAAAATGTGTACTTTGTTTCATTATCTGCAATGATTTCATGAGGTTCTGTATAGTTCTGTATCATCTTTATTCTTTTTTTCTTCTTTTTTTGCCTTTGTAATTTTCTTGCATTGGTTGGTTTTATGTTTGTGGTGTTTTGAGTAAGTATAACTGTATAAGCTCTGTTTTGAGATGCCCTGGAATTGTAATATTATTAATGTTTTTTATGTCTGCTGTTTATTTTAGTTGGGGATTTATTTTGAATTTTATTGCATGTGTTGTGTCTGGTCTTCTATGGACTGGAAATACCTGTGTGTGATAAATTTTAGCTGCTCAGGGGTTTTTATTGACATTTATTCAAAGAATAATAAAGTGAAGAGTGTATTTGTCTGAGATTTTGAGTGAGTTTAAAGTTTATGATTTTTGGGATATACTGATTTAACTTAAATCCTTGGAATTTGTAAATATTGGTGTGGGATTTTGTAAATGTTTTTAGCTTTTAAATTCTTAAGGGTAAGTCTTAAGAAATCTAAATAAATCAAATTGATAAACAAATTAAATATCTCATGACATTTGAAAGGTTTGTAAAATTTCAAATGAATAGTTCAATAGTTTTAAACATTTTATAAAATTCAGTTTAAATACATATGAGTTTTGAAAATATTAGAAAGTCTTTAAAAATTCGAAATGAATAACCAACTTCATAACTCTCTTTAAGCACCAAAGGGTATAAAAAAAGAAAACCCAAAAAAAACTTCATTTTAATTTGTTTGGTATGAAGATAAATTTTGGTAAGGAGAATAATATTCCTTACTTTACACTTCAACAATAAAGTAATGTTACATGAATTATTCAATTTTTTTAATGAGGGCTCCACCTAGCCTACACAAAGATCTGGAAATAAAGAATAGAATTGAAGAAAGAGCCAAAAGTATACCTATACTCATTAGGACCTATCTACATAAAATATTGAAATGTACCCATGAGTTAGTTTGAACTTTGAATTGTTCACTATGTGTTGATCATCTAATCTATTTTGAACAAATGCCAATTGCGTTGAAGTTTCGTCATTCATGATTAAATATATACTTTTCAAGGTCAGTATTAAAATTTTCAATTGCATCTCCCTTAATTGTGGGTTATATTCTTTCATGTTACCGTCACGTGTGAGCCTAGACATTCAATAAGCAATAATTTATTCTCTTTTGTTCCCTAGTTATGGGAATCTGGAATGGGACTATCAATTTATTCTTCATTACATATTTTAAATAATCTTGATAGACAATCATAATTTTTTTTATTTTTTCAAAAAATGCATGTTTATAATATTTAATGTCAATATTTTTATTTTTATCTTCAAGTAGGACACTTGAGACTAACAGTTTTGCAATTGTTAAATGTAATATTCTTAAGACTAATATTGTTGCCATTGATATTACCCTGAGCTTGTAAAATTTGGGTAGTCATAAATCATAATAATCCACTTCACTTGCATTCCGTCATCACATTACAAAATAGCTGAGCCTTCAGCCAATTCAATTAATTACAACAACATTCATTAACATAACCAACATATGCTAATTAAGCTCTCTATAAACCAGACCCCTTAAGAACAAACTCCTCCTTACATATCTTTTTCATGCTCTATTCTCATCAGCACCTTCAGTTCAAGTGTGCAATCCAGGAGAATTTTGGTCTGAGATTCAGTAAAATTGAACGTTTTCACGATGTTATTACTTATTATCATGTCTTATCAAAATCCAGATCACAATCGGCTGCAAATTTTCCAGAGTTTCGACTCAATCTCCCAAACGAGCCCAAAGCTGACAAACCCTTGAAATTGCTGCTGCATTCTCCGAGACTCACCGACTTTCTCGATTTTCTTGGTTTCGTAGGATTCGATTCGGACTCGGTCTCGTCATCTGTTTTGCTCTTGGCCACGACTAGTCGGCCAATGCTGCTTCGGCAGAAGGGGCAAACTGGAATTTTCACATTGTTAGAGGAGGAATTGGGTTTGCTGTGACAGCAAAGGGCCAAAATGCAATACGCGCACATTTGATGACCACAGCTTTGGACCTCGACTTTGCAAGCTTCCTCAAAGCAAATGCAGCACATTTCATCTTCTTCGCCAGCCTGTGTGGTGAAATTGTTATAATGCTTCGATTTCAAACTTGAAAAAGAGGATGAGTCATGAGCGTGAATCTAAACTATTAGGATTAAGGATATGTTTGGTAAACTTAGCTGATATTCTGATAAGCTAGCTTATAGCTGATAAGTGAATTTCGAGCTTATGGTTGAAAAACTAGCTTATATGATAAAAGCTACCTGATAAGTGTTTTCCTTCACGGTTATAAAAAACAATTTGGTTAGCAGTTTAACTTCAATACCAAATGTCACCCTCCCGGTATGTGTAATTTCAGTGGTTGGCTGGATTTTTTCTATAATTTATGTAATTACGTCGAACCTCAAGGGCACTTTCTGTAACTATCACTTTTGAAGTACTATTTGTTAATTGAATAAACAAAGTCCATTTGTTCCTTTAGATAGTGGGCAGTGTTCAAGTAAATTCATTTAAGATAATCATGATGGTTTACATTTGTTCACCAACCATTCAAATAATTTTTTATTTTTTATTTACTTTTAAAAAAAAAAAAAAAAAAGTAGTTTATTGGTAAGTTTTCTATACCTCAGATTCATCATCACTACCACCAGAATGTGATGGTGGTTGAAGGGAATTAGGTGTGTCCAATATTGCTTTCTCTCTCTTTTGGTTGGCTTCAATTAGAGCTTTCTGTAGCAGGGCTTTCACGTCCGGATTGAGTTCACTTATAAATTTCAAAGGCGAAGGCCAAGTTAGAGGCTCCGGAGCCAAAGGATTTAACAAAGCAGCACATAGATCATGTTTATGCTTCACTGCCACCATGTAAGGTATTCTCCTGCAGGTTGCACCCAAACATTTATTTAAGCTCACATTTTTATAAGAGAACGTGTTAGAGAGCTGCACACACACACTCACAACGAGCGCTCACGAAAAGCAAATGTCTTCTAAAAATTTACTCTTAACATTTGTTTCTCTCTTACAAACTCCACATTCTACATGGGGTGGTATGTTTTAGTTCTTGAAAGATAAAACTTAAGTTCTGTGTGTAACTAAGCTAAAATCCAGCAGAAGTTTTAGTGGACTTCCCTAAGCAACATATCAGAAGAAGGGGTTTTTTACTTTGGAGCATATAAAAATTGAAATAGAACATATCCATTTGTTCCGACAGTAATCTTTACTCAAATGGATTAACTTATTATCAACTGAATGAGTGAATGGAAGAGATGTGATTCGGGGTCCACAAAAATAATTCCCAAGTAGTGTACGAACTTTATTTCACAGATGAAGAACTTAAAAATCTATAGAAATTCAATTTAACGAGTAAAACCAATATTTCGAAACTGACACAACTCACCCAGAAGAATCTCTTTGAAGACGATCAGCACCCCAAGCAAGCAATTCTCGGACACAGTCCAATGAGCCCCCACGAGCAGCGAGATGAAGTGGTGTATTGCCTGGATAGCTGTAGTAATAAAATCAATTCTTAAAATACAGGTCTAATTACACTAAAATGCAGGTTTCATTGAAAATTCTACAAAAAGTGATACCTATAGCCACCAGTAGAAGCACACACAAGGGCCCCACTGCTCAACAAGACTCTAACACAATCTGGCCTTCTTTGGCGGGCAGCCAAATGCAGCGGGGTTGAACCACTTCCATCTCTTATGTTGACAAATCTTGAAAAACCCCTGCAAATTCCCATGTAATAAAATATGAGCAGATTCTTTTTTTTTTTCATGGTGCACATAAAATCAACAAAAAGAAAAAAAAATAATAAAAAATCGAAGACGATTACCAAAACTGAGCAATTGAAGGGGAATTAGCAGCAGAAAGAATCAATTGAATGCAATCTGAGTGGCCATGATAGGCTGCATAATGCAAACAGGTTCTCCCATGTAATGTATCAAACAATAAAATCTGAAAAAAAAAAATTGTGGAAAAAGAACAATTAACTGCAAAACTCAATCATCAAGTTATGCACAAATCAGAGATATACATTCATCAGATCTAATAAACTGTAAAATAAAAATACGGAAGTCGAAAATGATGAATCATACATTGGCTCCTGCTTGAATCAACCTTTCCACGCACAAGACCTTCCCATGCATTGCAGCCAACATCAATGGAGTCTAATCCAAACAGAGCCCAATATAAGATATCCTTATTTTAGTGAAAAACACAAGTGATGAACAACAACAGCAATTGCATCGAATTCGCAAAACACAAAAATAAAACTAGAAAGACACAAAAAAGTGAAAACAAATCCAGAAATCAAATCACCTGCTTGTGCCGATTGAGAATATCCGGATTCCCAAACCGATCCAGAAGCATAGAGAGAACCTAACCAAAATCATACAAAAACCCAAGGCCACAAAAATACTCTGAGACTATAAAAACAGCAGGAAAAAAGAAATGAAACCAATCAACGGGATCGCATTTTAACCCTCACCTCGATCCGCCCGTTTGCGGCCGCCACGTGGAGCGCGGAGAGCCTCCGGTGAAGCGTCTTCAGTGCCAGTATGTTCGGGTCCTCATCCGCCATTGCTTCAACGATTTGAAGCTCTCCATTTTGAACTGCGCTGAACAGCTCGGTCTCCTCCTGCTCCCTGCAGCTCAGGCCCTGACCCATTTCTACAAAAAACTGGCACTCACGCGCCTCCGAACACGGCGGAGGAGGCGCGGCGCGGCTGTGGCAGAGGGGGCGTTCAGGTGATTGGATTTGTTGGATTGAAAGGGAAGAGAAAGGCAGTGAGAAATAATGAGTGAAGGTGTTGGGGTTTGGGCAGCTGCCCGTATGCGTTAGGTGCACGCTCGGGCAGTTTGGCGATATTATTATATTATTCTAATAATATTATATAATGGTGGAAAAGGATTAGAGACTAATCAAAGAATTAAATACCTTGATTGAAATGCACGATTGCGATTATCTTCATTTTTAGTTGCTCTTTTTTGAATTAACAAACACAATGTAACGCCTAATTATGTTATTATTTAACATGAATTTAAAAATTTAATAAATTAGTCACAGGAAGGATATTTTTTACATTTATTTTCGACCTTAAATAATGAGAAAGATATTCTAAAATTATATTTTTAGAAATATATCTCAAGTGGAGCTGGGTATTTTATATTAAAGTTGGTGATCGTTTGATGAAGAATTCAACTTAAGACGGGCTCATGTAATGAGCAAATTGAAATGCGATATGGAGATTTATCGACTCATATAAACTCAACATGCTTGTCTCGTTTAATAGATTCTAAATCATAATAATCGGTAAATCTAAATTTATAATTGAGTTATTGACGAACACGTTCACTCTGGTTAATAGTTATTGAAGAGTTATTGTGGACGACTACTAGAAGTTGTTGGATTTTCAATGCCAAATACCTAAAGTTATTAATAGTTTGTTGTAGGCTTGTAAATAAATCAATTTTTTTTTATTCGATTCGAGATTCGAATTTGATATTCGTGATTCGAATTCGAAATATTCGAATTCAATTATTTCGAAATCGAATTCGAATACGAATAATATTTTATATTCAAAAGTTAAACGAATCCGAATTCGAATTTGTAGATATTCGATTCGTTAACAATAATTATATAAATTTTATAAATTATATATAGTATACATTTTGTTTATAATATATTTTTATATTTTTAATATATTTATGACATAAAAAGTAAAAATATCCTTAATTAACAATTTTCCCTAAAAATATATGGAAAAATAAAAAATATTTTTGTAATTATAATATTTTTTTAATTATAATATCTTTCTAAAAACGAATTTCGAATCGAATCGAATATGTTCGAATATTTTTAACGAATCGAATACGAATCAAAAAATAAGTTCGTTAACGAATCGAATACGAATTTGAATCATCGAATATTTTAACGAATTCGAATCGAATACCTTAGTATTCGTTTTGATTCGATTCGCTTACAACCTTAGTGTGTTGTAGCCTTTTCATATGACATAGTTGCTCAAAATGTGGTACAATTGATACTGGCTCATGAAGTAAAAAGTATTTCCTCAGATCTGCAAACATATTCCCTCGTAATTGGTGATATGCCTTCATGAAAATTGATTGAATGTCCAGAATCTTTCTGAATATATAAATAAATATTATAGGTTGAAATTAATGATAGAAGTATCATAAATTAATGATGAAGATCGAATATTTATTGAAAAGCGTAGTAAAGAAATACTCCAATGAATGTTATTTATCGCTCAAAATTTTCATTTAATTATAAAAATTAACCATTATATTTTTTATTTTTTTTTCTATTTATGAAAGTGATTGTTATATTTTATATTAATTAAATTTAACAATATTTTTTAACTTATTTATAATATAATAACTACTACTATAATTAACCGATTATCAACCCACACAAAGATTTATTAAAGTCGTACAATTATTAAAAAATAAATTATAGCAAAATTATTTTTTCAAGTTATTTATTTTAAAATTAATATTTAATATTAATTTTATCTCATTAAGCATTATTTAAATGGCTAATTGTCTTAATGGCATAACACATTAAACCCTTTAAAATTGTATAAAGAACTGCTATAATAATAACATTTTTTTCAACTAATTAATTGGTCAATATATCTTAAATTTATAAGAATTATATTATTCATTAAATTTATAAGAATTATATTGTGATTCATATGTAAGTAATGTAGTATAAATTTGTTATTCATTTTTTTAATGATTAAATTTATAAAATGAATATATATGTTATTTATATTATGTTTTAAATATAATATTTATACATATTATTTAAAATAATTATTTATACTTGTGCATATGCACGTTATTAACTACTAGTTATTTTTAACTATTCCACCATATGATAATTGCTATTAATATCAACTAATTATAAGTTCACGCTAAAAGATTTTTGGAAGATACATACTTATAAGCAAAAAGTATAGTAAAACTTTTTCATTCAAGTTATTTACTTTAAAGTTTATATCATCTTTTTTATTTTAATCACATTAAAAGAGTACTTTTAAATAGTTAATAGGTTTTAGTGACATATCAAACATCGTGTGAACAATTACTATACTAATAATAAGAATTTAATATATTTTTAGCTAATTAGTCTTAAGTTTTTAAAAAATGCATTATTCCTTACCTCTTATGCAATCTATATATATTGATCAGTCTATAAGTAAAATAGTTTATAATTATATTGTACTTTTTTACTTACAACCAAATTTATTAAATATGATATGATCATTATATAACTTATAATTTTAAATTTAATAAACATTGTGGCCTATAATATTTAATTTGTGTCTGCATGTCTGTATAATTGAATACTAGTTATTTAAAAATAATAATTAATAATAATATTAAATAGTAGAAATAGTGTAATTACAATAACATAAATAATAATTATCAGACCTATCTGCTCACGTGAAAATGACATGTGAACATTTATATTGGACTAGCAACAGTTGTTAGACGAATTAAAATTGGGCTTGCGTACACACAACAAAGTCAATTAAAATAAGGCGGGCTTTTGAATATGTACAAATTTCAAAGAAAAAATCCTCCTTTTTCCCATATCCTTCAACCACTATTTTAATTGTTAATTAAAAGTTGATTGTAATTGAATTATTAGTTTATCTTTGTATTTTTTATTTTATGCCGGAGAGTGCTTAAATATGTCGGAGAACAACATTTTGTCTTTATATACATATTAAAAAAACAAAAAAAAATCCAACTATTTAAATGATGATTTTTTCTAGCAGTTACATCTCTAAATTAATAAAATAATAATTAAGTATATAATAGTGAAATTTTTATATAACTACGTAGCATTGATTTTTAATTTTAAAGTTATATTAAAGGATGTTAGTGGAGAAACAACTTGAAGGAGATAAAAGTTAATGGCCAAATAGAATATTTTTTATATTTTTTATTTTATTTTATTTTTTATCTTTTTGGAGTTTTATATTTTTCGTGTCCCAACTAATTTAAATATTATTATTCTTTATACAATTGGGTCTAGTCAACTTTTCACACCACGAAGAAAAGATATTGTATGCTGACGCGTACACACGCCCATAAGCATATTTTTTGATTTTTTTCACATCAAAAGCTTAAAAGGCTTATTATCTAACTTTGTATAATCTACTTTATTGAAAAGGCTTATTATAATCTATCTGCACTTCACAAAGACAAATAAAAATAATATATATATATATATGTGTGTATAGTATTATTTGAACGAAATGTTATTTTCTTGTATAATATAATTTCATAAATATAACTAAAATATTATCTAGAGTTGTTAATGAGTTGAATTTCATCAAGCTCTGATCGAGTTTTAATTCTTGATACTTGATCTCAATCTCTTATTTAGTCGAAACGAGCTAAACTCTTTGAGTTAACGAGTTTATAAACGAGCTCGAGTTATACACTAGCCTTGAGGAGTCGACCTATGTTAATAATAATAATAAAAAAAAATCTATAAAACCCTATGTTTTTCAAGCTTAATGAGCCTTGAACGATTTTAAGCTCCAACCAAATGGAGTTTATGCATGACACATTCTTTTAACAATTTTAGGATTATTCTACTAATAGATTAGTAAGGTTGTTAGGCCGACTTATCAGTTAGGTTGTCCCTTTTTTTAGCATATATATATATATATATATATATATATATATATTTTCTAATTGAAATTTTATACTATAAAAAACAACGTAAATAAAAACATAAGATTCCATATTATAAGTATATACTTTTATTAAAAAAAGTATAACGAATTGACCCACTTAAAAGTTAATTCGCTTCTCCCAAAAAATTGAGTTCTACTAATGATATACTCTGTCATTAACGAGACATAAACTTTTTACAGTTATTACTTACTAAGGAGAGAAATAATTGAATATTATCTGGGCTATGCTTGAAGTGGAGTAAAACAAAACATCCAAATCAATAATTTGAGTTTCATATCATCACGGATTAATTTTAAAAGAAAATTACGCGGTGTTCACCATTAAATTTCTATTTATTTGCATATTCATGAAATTTTTATATTTAATTTCAAGTATACTAATTTTTACGATTTATGAAGTGTTAATTTGTATTTTATGTTTGACATTGGTTTTAAATTTTATTATTTTTGTGCTTATGGCTCATTTATGGGATCTATTTATTATTTTATTTTGATTGTACTAGTATTTTTCTAAATTTTTTCAAAAAGTATATAACATGTAATATTGAGTTAATTTTACTTGACATTTTTGTTATTCATGTAGTAGCCCAATACATAGTCTGACATGGCCAAAACGGGCCCGGCCATTTATCACATTTATGACATTTATATATTATCATTTTATACAATGATTAATATATAAGTAAAACTAGGGGTCAACCGGCCGTGCACAGTACCGCCAGGCCCAAGTTATGTCTATTAAGCTATTTTAATAAGACCTAATTTATTGGGTTTTTTTTTTTCGTTGTTGTTAAAATTTAATGTTATATAGATTGAAAAAAAAAAACACCT